ACTAGAATGGTTTCAATCAGATTATGCTTCTTAACAATTGAGAAATTAAAGTTATGCTTTGACACAAATAACATCAATGTTATATATATATATATATATATATATATATATATATATATATATATATATATATATATATATATATATATATGTATATATATATATATATATATATATTAGGGTGGGTCATATATATACATATGTATACATATATATATATATATATATATATATATATATATATATATATATATATATATATATATATATATATATATATATATATATATATATATATATATAAATAGTATTGCGTACTTTGGTAAGCAATCTGACATCATACTGAAATAGCCGGCTGCTGGGGGCTTCAGTACATACAACGACTGACAAATAGCCTGACTCGCAGTGGAGTGCTGCTACATCGACTGAGGGTTTGGTATGGGGAAGCAATCGTTTTATTTATCATTCTTCGTTTTTTTCTTCTTCTTTTTCGAAAAAAACCGTTTACCTTAAAGTAAGCACAAAAAATGAGCAAATACTTATCAAAACACGCTTTAGTAAGTGTATATATATATATATATATATATATATATATATATATATATATATATATATATATATATATATATATATATATATATATATATATATGTATATATATATATATATGTATATATATATATATTTACATATATATATAAATATATATATTTATATATATATATATATATATATATATATATATATATATATATATATATATATATATATATATATATATATATATATATATATATATATATATATATATATATATATATATATATATATATATATATATATATTAGGGTGGGTCATAAAATTTTTTTTAAGAGTTGCTAACCTGACTATGGTCTAGAAAGTTGTTTTTTTTATGTACTAATTTAGGAAAGTAAAAAAAAGTTTTTCAAAATTATGTAATGTAGGTACTCAAATAAAGTGAAATTTTATAAAAATTTAAAAAAAAAAATTTTTTTCATATAAAAACTATTATTTTAGATTTTATTGCATAATAACTATAGTTTTTTAACTAAAAGTGAATAAGGTGCATTTTTACATGTTTTTTGATAAAAAATTTTCTTGGCAATATGTTTTTCATAAAATGATTATTATTTTTAAATTTTTTATAAAATTTCGCTTCTTTTGAGTACCAGGTTGACCTTCTTTTGAAAAACTTTTTTTCTCTAAAATATTAGGGTACCGGTAATTTTCCTAATAAAGTTGCGCCCTTTAAATCTATCACAATCATTCTCATATTTTATAGTATCAATATTAATAACTATTAGCAATGTTTAGAGCCTGTAACAAGAAAAAAAAATTTTATGACCTACCCTAATATATATATATATATATATATATATATATATATATATATATATATATATATATATATATATATATATATATATATATATATATATATATATATATGTATATATATGTATACATATGTATATATATACATTTAAACATATAGATAACTAGATATAAACTTATATGAAATTGTAACTTGAAAAATATCTGCGTGAGTGTTTGTATGATAAATGTCTATCAAATATTAAAAAAAAAATTGTACTAACTTGCACACTCTTTGCAAATAGATTGCCCGATTCCAGGTGTTAATCCATAACTTAGCACATCTTTTTTGTTACACAAAACACAATCTATTACATATGACATTTTTATTTCTAAACATTTAGTAAATATTAAAAAGCTTTTATACCAATGTAAAAAGGTTTAACAAGCAAAAAAATATAAAAAAATATAAAAAAAACTTTTTAATATTTTAACAGAACATATCATTTTTTTGATGCAATCCTTAAATCTATGATTTTTTTTTAGTGTATGATTGATTTTTTTGCATACTGTATATCCATATTTAGTATGCATAATGCCACTTTTTGCCTAGCCTCCTGGATCCAAACAGGTATGGAAGCCATTATTTCTTTTTGTCTGTTTTAAGGCTAATTCTACTCCACGTTTTTGACCTTTTTGTGCAGATAAATTAATTTTTGGTTTAATGTTGCCATAATCATGGTTTAATGTTTGCAATAGAATGTTTCTACTTTTAAAACTTTTTTCAAGATTTATAATTTAAGTTGAAATGGTTGAGTTATTAAATTTTTTAAAAAAATTTCAGGGATATTTTAAAATCATTTCATAAGAAAAACCTGAAAGATTGAGACAATAATTCAAAGTGGTTCAACAGTTATTGTGGTTTGAAGTTTCATAAAACGCTGAATTTGTCATTTTTCAAAGTTTTTTATGTTTCGATGTAGGAACCTCATGCAGTTAAAAATATTGTTTGAAATGAGAGGGCGTGGTGAGTTTTGATAAAAGAATATAGTATCAAGTTTATACATTAAGGAAAAAATTTGAGTCTTAAAAATATACTGCAACATTACCTTTACCCAAAACTACCCCAGAATCAAGGCTTATATTTGTATGTTTCAAGTTTTTAAGAAAGAAAATCTGTGTTTTTTTACTGTAAATACAGTAGAACTAATTTTAAGCTTAATCTTAATCTAAAAATCATGTCTTAAAACCTCACCTGCTTTATAAACAATAAAATTTATGCTAACTTTGAGAATCAAAAGATCGATGTGCCAACGAACTATTGACTTTTTTTAATTTAGTTTTTTGAAAATGGTTTATACACCTATATAACTTCAATAAATTAAAAGACTTCAATGGGTGGTTTTGCTTAAATGAAGATATCTTTAATATAAAATAATTTTCAACAGAAAAAAAAAAGCTGGTGTTAGAATCGGTAGCTATTTAATAAATCGAATTTTTCAATTTTGGTTAGTCTCTGGTTTAATTTTTGAAATTTGTTTTTTTGTGAACCCTAAATTCAAATATCTTACTTATTTTAGCCATAAAAAAGAAGATTTATGATTTAAATTAAATTATAAACCTTTACAAAATAAAAACAATTACCTTGATTTTTTTATTTTTATTTATCATACCATTTCTATAATATATTTTTTTAATATTATGTATTATTTAACATTATACATATATAATATAAAAGTCCACTATTTTTTATGATACAATTCATGAAAAATTCCACATAGTGGTTACTTATAATTCAACATCTAAGTTGTGTAAAATGTAAGAACATTTTTGGACGTTTTGTGGTATATGACTTCTATAAATTTACTAATATTCTTGATTAATTGCTATCAAAATGCCTCATAATATTTTTTATAAACATGTTAAGAGGTTTAATAATGTTTGTCATACAAAATGCTGTTTACTTTCTGAAGGTTCATGTGGGGAACATTTAAGACTAACTGGATTATTTAAATGCGACAAGTTAACACAAGTGTTTGCTGATTGTTTTTTCGAAAAACATGTAATTGAGTCGCGAGTACATGTAGAACTAAGTAATTAACAAGTTATATGTGCTCTTCACAAACAGAAGTATGGCAGATACTGGTATGTACCAAAGCTATGCTTACATCCATGCAAGGAAGTTCCTCCGACAAATAAGGGAGCAGACAAACACAAAGATCTCTCTAAAGCAACAAGAGATCAGTAAAAAAATATTAATAAATGATTTCCTGGTTCTTTTCCAATATCTGGTCAGTTGTGCAGAATTCACAGAGACAGCATGTTTCTAAATCATGACGAAATAGAGAATGATTCTACTTACACACTTAATTTAGTGTCTCCAGAAAACTCTTTTTCTTCAGAAAATGTTAATGAATTCTTACCGGCAAGCGCTCCAGATATAAGCCCTGTGAAATGACATATTAGAAAAACACATATCAGTAAGGCATCAACTTCTAAAATCATCTACCATAAAAGTAAGTTCAATAAAGCTCTAGATAACTTCAAAAAAATCTATTCTGAAAAAATAGCACCAGTACAAAGAGGTCGGTATATTTATACATGAGGGCTTTTATCCTTTGCATGAGATTCCTACAATTATCTTTGAATATTTCTTGATCTATATTTCTATTAATTCTAAAACATGAATTAACATTATACCAACAAAACTATCCCCAAACAATTCAAGGGTTGAATTAAGGCATCGCGATTTGCGATATCTGTGAAATTATCTGGTCTTTAAAGTTTCAGTTTATGGAGAACCACAAAATTTACGGAATAGGCGAATAAACTTTTATTTGTTAGTGAAAATGAAAAACAAAGTGTCCTATTTTTAAGCTAATTTTAGGTTGCATGGGCGATGTGGGGCTCATTTTGAAAATCGTGTGGAGGGGGGGGGGATTTTGCTACTGACTAATCTAATGTGCTTAATACAAAGTTTGTATTAAGCACATTAGAGTACATTTATAGTTTGTTGTTTGATCAAACAATAAACTATAAATGTAACTTAAAAGAGTGTTATAAAAGTAACAACACTGTAGTGTTATTACTTTTGTAGTCATAAATTTATTGTTTTGTTTTTCATAACATTTTCACTAACAAATTAAAGTTTATTCGCCTATTCCGTAAATTTCGTGGTTTTCCATAAACTGAAACTTTAAAGACCAGATAATTTCACAGATATTGCAAATTGCGATGCTTTAATTCAACCCTTGCAATTACATTACCTCCTCCATGTTTTATGGAAGGCAGTTAGTATTTACAATCATATCTTTTACCTACTGGATGTAAAACATACCTGATTCCATCTGACCTTAACCGCATAAACATACTCTCATTGCTAAAAAGAATATTTGACCATTGTTTACTAGTCCATTTTAGACTCAAATTCTTTAAAGTGTTTTGATTTTTCAAAAGAAATCAATGGAGTTTCAGCCATTTTTATTCAGACATTTCAGGTGTCTTCCAAATAAATTACCATGATGCAAACAATGTTTTGTAATAGAAACACTAAAATACATTCCATAGAATTGTCAGCAATTGTGGATTTAAATCAACAGCTGTCAAGTAGGGATTTTTGACTTACTGACTCCATAAAGTCTTACAAAACAAATTTCCATTTTTAATTGATTTTATGATCAACTTTTTCAGTGATAGTAGATCCCATAATTTCAATTACTTATAAATAATTCTTAATAACTTTTACTAAGTATTTGTTTACAATATTAATAAATCAGCCCATTTTTTGATAAAAAGTTTTAGTTTATCTGCAAATTTTCAAACTCAAAAATTTTTATTTTTTAAATCAATTCAAATACAAAAATTAAATAACATTTGTTCAAAAAATAATAGTCAACATAAAAAGCTTTTGATTAGTATATATTATATTAGTTTTAGTGACGTTTATGCTGAAATATTAGTAAAATTCATTTTCCATAATTTGTTGGACAATTGTATATTTTAAAAACCTCATAATGATGATGATGATAATGATGGTGATGATGATGATGGTTCTTTTTGATCATTAATATAAATGAAATATGTTTATTTAGGTGTCAGCAAAATCACCAGTTCTTGCTCATTCTGTCAAGGAGACAGTCTTGTACAATGTTGTAAGTAAAAAATATTTTGTTTAATAATAAAAGGAGGAATGAATAAAATTCTTTTGTTTTTTTCTCTTTCAAAAGTGAATTACTTCCCCAATCTTTAAAAGACTCCCCCTTATTATATTATATTTTTTGGGTTTCATTATTTAAATTTTTTTAGATTGCTATTTTTTATTTGCATTAAAGCAAGTAATTATTAAATAAATTATTGAAGAGTATGAACAATAAGTATAACTATAAAGCACAATTAGTGTACATATTTAGACTGATTTTTTAAGTTATGTAATTTAAGTTCATTCTTTAAGAAAGCAGGAGAATCACTTGAAATAAAAGTTGGTGCAGAATTTAATAGGTTTTGAACTTTATTTTTAGTATTCAATCAGATAAACTAAGATCCTTTTCTACTTGCTGCTGTGAAAAGGAAAGAAATTGACTTTAGTATTCCAAAAAGATCTAAACTAATGGAGTTTATTATGATTTTTTTCTTTTGATGTCATCAGGCAAATGAGAGTTTCTTGAAATTTTAAGAAATTCTCTAAGGCATATACTTGCAAAGGCATTTCTATGCTTACAAAGCTAAATTGACACAATTGACAAGAAGCCTTTTTTAGCATGAAGTTAAGTAGTTATTAAACATTAGTTAAGTAAATTATTAAACATTAACTGATTTTTTTAACAAAATCATCCTAAGCAAAAATATGATGCAACAAAGTTTATAAAGTTAAATTATTCTCAATTTATTAAAAAAAAAAGTTTTTTTAAGAAAAAGAAGAATAACTCCTCAAGCCATAAATTTTAAATTTTAAATTTTTAACTCCTTTTCTAATAGATGTTGTTCGTACTTATCAAATGTCATTTAAACAAAGATATCATAGATATTACTTATCAAAAACATAAACACTGCATATATACATATAATATACAAGTATAGTCATATTTCATGTCACTAACATACTACATATGTCATTTAAACATAAGTATCATAGATATTACTTATCAAAAATATAGATAGCATCGACACTGCGTGTATAGATGTTCTTCATATTTATCAGATGTCATTTAAACGTAGATATTGTTTGTATGTCTTTATATCCTACAATATTTTTACAAAAATTAGTCCACTCTGCATGCTCCACTTAAACATTTTGCTGCAGATATTAAAAAAATGATTTTGACTCTCACTGCATCTATTACTAAGTAGTTTATTTTTTCACAATTCACTTCCCCTAGGGCAAGAAGATCATATATGTTAAATAAAAGACAAGTTTTTTTACCAATAAAAAAAAAACCTAATTTGTTTAAATTTGTTCCAAAAATTGTTTTTATTGTTTTTTACCTTGATAAACATGAAATGTGTACATGGCCAAATTTACCTATAGGCCAAATAGGCTGCAGCCTAAAGCCTTGCAATTTTAGGCTTTTTTTACCAATAGAAAAAAAACGGAGGAATTTGAGATTGCGCTGCAAACAGTGTTTTAGAACAAAATTTTAGAAAGAACAAATGCAGTTTCCTAAAATGTGCAAGATCAAGAAATAACTTATGATGTGTGTTGCTCATTGTTGTCATTATTTGGTGATTATGTTCTTTCGTTGAAACATTATTACCATGAAGTTATTGAAGCACAAACTATGTTATTGCTACTTAATGTTGACTCTACTCAATGAAGAAATCAAATTAGGTAAAGATTTAACTGTGATCTTGAATCAACTAAAAATGAAACTAAAAATTTTGCATTGAAGCAAGAACTAATTTCTCTATATTATCGTCGATAATGAATAATGTCGATATATTAAAAACACTGCAGAAATAAAATTGCATAATGAATTAGTTTTTTATTTACTTGTTTATTCATTTTTGTTCAAGCAATGATTTTTCAAATAAAGTACAATAAAAAAACTAAAGTTTTTTGAAAACCTCAATTTCTTCCATGAAAAATTATATAAATGTTTATAGAAATGTTTTTATTAGTAAAGGACAAATCATGATTTATATATCTGACAAATAAATTAAAGGACCTCAAAATTTGGTTCTGCCTAATACCCCCTACAAGATAAAACTGGCCCTGAATATACAGAATAATGCATTACTTAGGTAATTATAATAACTATTATATGCTATATTTTTTAGAGACAAGATTGACAGTGTCTACCTTAACATTTTAGAAAAAAGGTTAAAAAGAAGTAGAACATTAAAGAAAATGAAAAATGTTTTTGCTTTTTTCTTATAAAAATTAAAAAAAAGATTTACTAAATGATAGCACAAGATTGTGCTTTGGGTAATGGAATGAAAAATCATAGGTTGTTTGAGCACTGACCATGGTATTATTTTAGTTGTTTTTGATTGTTTTAGAAGCGATCATTTTTAGAAAAAAAAAATGTCACAGCAAACAATAATTTATACTAATACAAATTATTATTAGATTTACAGAAATATAAAATATTATTAGATGCAAAGAACAAAATCAGGAGTAAAAAAATGGCAAGTACGATGGAGAGAAATGATGGAGAGATCTTATTAGTAATTCTTTTTGTTATTTTCACTTTTAAATATTTTTCAATAATTTAATTTTGTATTGAGTTTTTGTAATAAAAACTTTACTTTTTGGGAGAGTTGTTCTAGAAAAAAAGAGGAAAGAATTAATTAAAATTAAATATGAAAAAAAAAAAAAAAAATACAATCAGAATTGCAATCAGAAGCTGCACAATAAGGATAAAACCATGCAGTAGAATTCATGCTTGTTTGCAGAAATCTAAGGTATTGCATTTGATGCAAAGACAAAAGACATTAGTCAAGGACTGTAATAAAGAACATCACTCAAGGAAATAATGCTATGATTTTCTTTGGTTAAAAACACAATAATTTAATAAGATAAAAGTTTTAGTGAATCAGGTCTAAAAAAATTAAGGATCAAAGGTAAGTTATTTTGTTTGTCAGAAAATCTGGGTATAAAATTAAATAAGCTAAATGTTTTTGAGCTTTAGTCCTAGAAAGGTTATTGTTATTAGATTAGAGCTAAGCTATAAAGTCAAAATAACAATATTGGCATGCACAAATTGTTAAAAAAATAATAAAGGCTTGGCTAATTAGATCAGAAATAACATAAAAGGAAAATTTGATTGAGTGTAGTTTGTTGTTAATAAAAGCACATAAAAGAATAATTAGTGAATTAAGTGAAGTGAAGACTTCACTGAATTCACTTAAGTGAATTCAAGCTTAATTTCATAACATATAGGTAAGTTTATAATTTAAAAAAAATTTAAGATTAAAAAACATGTGCTCAGGAATAGCATCTGTTTATATATTTAAATTTAATTATATTTACAGTTAATAAATCAATTTTAAATTTTTTTTTATTAGTTGCACAAGTTGAAGATTATTCTTTTTAAATTTTTATTTATCCTCTTTATTTATTTTTTCTTAAAGACTCACTCATAACAAATGGGACAAATTGTATGACTATATTATAAAGTGTGTTATATTATTAAATAATTTTAGAAATCCAGTAATATTTTATTATAAAAAACATTTAGTGGTGAAAGTTGACTTTTTTTTTCAGTTACTGTTTTTAAACCCACTTTAATATGCATTTGTCCAAACAAATGTAGGGGTGTTCACTTATCACTCACATAAGTTGATAATAGTTTTTTTCTTCTGAAACAAATCCACTTATCATCAATCTGTCAAAAACATTATTCCCTTTAAAAAAATAAAATTCTAGCTATGCTGATGCATAACTAAAATGATATAAATGGCTCAAACAGATTTATTTCAATTTTTTTAATTTTTGTAATGATGATTGTAGACATGATTGCAAATAAAAATGCACATATAACATCATTGTCAGTAGATAATTTGCTATGTTGTAGACATGATTGTAGACATGATTACAAATAAAAATGCATGATGATTGTAGACATGATTGCAAATAAAAATGCACATATAACATCATTGTCAGTAGATAATTTGCTATGTTGTACTGGAAATAGAAAACTTTTTTTTTTTTAAACATCTCATCTTGCAACAAGGCTGCAAGCAAACACTAATTAGTGTTGGAAGTCACTGGAAAAGATAACAATTGACAGACAACTTAAAAGATTGTAAATTATATGAATCAGGAAAGCAGAATTCTAAAGGAAAAAAAGTAAGAATTTTTGGAGCAAGTAAGAGTTTTTGGAGCACTTAGGAACAGTAGCATAAAAAGGATGAGACTTAATTGAATGATGATTAACATGAGAGTGAATTTTAGTAGATTGCACAAGAGATGCTAGCTCTTTAGAGCAATGCCCATTATAGTGTTTGTAGAAAAGACAAAGAGAAGTGACATTACGACGATGTGATAATGGTTGAAGGTTGGCTGCAAGAGCAGGTCCAACTATGTTTACAATGCGTTTTTTCACCTTGTCTTAAAGAGAAAGAGCATCATTAGAAGATCTGCCCCAGATATGGCAACAGTATTCCATACAAGGCCGGATTTGAGATTTATAGAGATAGAGAATAGAATCCAGAGTGAGAAAGTGTCAAGCTCGATAAAGAGATGCAACTTTAACAGATACTAGTTTTGCAACGCATTTTATATATTGTTTCCAAGAAATATCAGAAGTAAAAGTTAATCCTAGAAGATGAAAGGTAGATGACTCATCAAATACATTACGGTTCATAAATATCGGAAGGTCTAAATTATTGCGATATGCACATGCACAGTATTATCATTGTGTCAACTTCTTCTTGATTATGAGTTTAAATTAAATCTGTAATATTATTATTATGTTTGTGTTCCCTAGGTTGACTGATTCAAACAGGTTTTCATCCATGCATCTTGTAAAAGTAATAATGTTTTGTTCAAGAAAGAAACAACAGTACTTACCTCATCTAGTTGATGTTTTTAAATTTTTATAACTCTTTGCATAAGTGGTTACACTGGTTATGCAAAGGTTATGTGAACTAAGGTGATATAAAAAAGCAAGGTATAAGATTCAACAGTAGAAAAGTTACTTTGATGAATGCCAATGACAGTGAATGATTTAGAGAACTTGCTGATGACAATAGTTTTTTGTGATTTGTAGTTTTTGATACTTCAGTCATTTTCTTAAATTGGTTAAAAGCAAAAAAGTACTCAGAAAATACTCAGTACACTATCTAACGGTCCAAGTAATTGTCTCATTACTACTACTAAACCCTAAGTCATAACAAAAGGCTCCAAATATGGCCTCGACAACACACCATCCATGCGCAACATGACACTGTTTGTACTTTGTTATTTTACAGCTCTTGATGGAATCAGCCTCTATGAGAGCTACCACAGAGTTTAAGAAACCTGACTACCAGCTGGCTCAGAAACATAAAACTGAGTTTTAGAGCTGTACTCTCATTAGGAGATAATAGAATGAATTGTCATAAAAAAAGAGACACAAGAAAAATCCTTGCAATGAGTCAAGAAGGTCTAGCATTCAACATCCTAAACTGGAAACAATGTATTATAAATACATCTATGCCAGTCTAATAGATGAAGAAGTGGTGTGAATCTAGTCAACAGATGTTATAATCGAGGGAGTGTGTTAAATCAGAGTTGGTATCTCCTGGCCTTTGCCTAAAAAAGCATATCCTTCAAAGCAGCATGATATAAAGAGGTTGTATTGGGTTACGTGTTACCAGTAGCAGAATGATGATGATAGTGATGATATATATATATATATATATATATGTGTGTGTGTGTGTGTATATACATATATATGTGTGTATATATATATATATATATATATATATATATATATATATATATATATATATATATATATATATATATATATATATATATATATATATATATATATATATATATATGTGTGTATGCAGACCTCTTTTTCTTCTATTCTTAGGTTGTTTAAATAATAGTGAACTAAGACAGTATTTTATTAATCCATTGATTTTTTCTTGTTTTTTACAAGTATAACTTTGATTTTTAGTTCAACCAAATACTTTGCAAGCATCACCAAGCTTTACCTATTTAAATATGGCATCTTCAGGAGTTGCAAGTACTAGATTAGCATGGTTATCTACTTTAAATGCTACAGTTGTTACTTTTTCTGATGAAACTCAGAGAACTCCAATCCAGTCTGGTGTTATTTCAAGTAGCTCTCAATTTGTTACTAGTACATCTTCCAATAATTCCACATTGTTTGCATTTTCTGTTTTCCTCATATCTGCTTCTATTGCAACTCCTTCTATCGCTACTGCTGTTGTTCCTACCCAATCTGGATTGTCATCTATACTTTTAAGTACTATTGTTGCAACAACACCTCAGTCTTCCACAAATTCAACAACACCTCAGCCTAAGTCTTCAACAAATTTAACAACACCTCAGCCTCAGTCTTCAACAAATTCAGGTTTTATTACGATAAACTTTAAATGAATAAATAAACTGGTTTTATATATATTTTTAAATCTTTCATTTTTAGGAGGTTGTTTGTTTGATAATGGTGTTTGTAGTGGTATCTGAAATCTTTAAAAATATTTTATTTTTAGGAGGGTGTTTGGTTAATAATGGTGGTTGTAGTGATATTTGTAATCTTTTAAATAACAATGTAGTGTAAGTTGTTTGCAAGTTTTTTTGCTATAAGTGAATTAAATTATGTATTTAATTTTTTTTTTTTTTAATTAATTAAACCATATTGTAAATTACTTAAATTGATTATGCAAAAAAGCTTTTTTTAAATTAAATAAAATTATAAAAATTTCTAGTTGCTCTTGTTCAAAAGGTGTTTTGGCATCCGACAGTCGTACTTGTTATGATAATACAGAATTTATCTTTGCCTCATTGAAAAACGTAGTTTTAAAATGGAACAGTAGTGACACTCTTGCCCCAATATACAATTTTGGTGTTACTTCTAATGATGTAGGTATTGTTGCTATGGGCTATGATTATAAGAACAAACTTTTTTACTACTCAAGAAACACTGCTACAGTTTCAATTATCAGTGTGATGAATATTGATGGAAGTAATAAACAAGCTCTGTTCATTGGTTAGTTTATGTCTATTTTATGAACATTTTTGAAATTTCACTTATTTTTTTAATTTTGGTATAAAACATTAGTTTCTGGAGTAATATACTTCATGTGTATTGAAAAATTTGTTTAAAGCCTGTCATTTGTCATATAAAACAAAAAAAAAAACTTTTTTGTTGTATATGACAAGCTATTTTTCTTGTTCTGTTTTTTAATCTTGTCTGCTATTTTTAAAATAACATGTTTTTTCGCTTTAGTTAGGATGTTAGTCTTTCTCCAAAATGGCGGATATTTTTTTTAATTCTCCCTCAAAGTCAAATTAAAATAAGTGTGCAAATAGATGAATGTCTGCATAACTTGAAGCTAGTTTTGCCCTAGTTATCATCTTATAAGTACTTTTAATCAGATAGATTTGTTTTATGAGTCTTATAAATGCCATATTAAAGGTCTGAAATATATAATATTAGAAATAAAGTCTATGCTAAATTTGTCAAAATTTAATTTAAAAATGGTAATTACAAAATCAGTTAGAAATAATTCATTTATCTAATGAATACTTTATCCCTGCTTTTTATTATTGTACTTTTTAATATCTATACTTTATCCCTGCTAATAAAAATAACAATAATACTTTAAAAGTTTTATATCTAAGCAAAAATCCAATTTTTTATCATGCCTTAATATTAGTATACTAGCAAAAAGTAACCCGTAATACGGGTTTTGGTCCGTCTGTTACATAATTAATTTATAGTGGTTGTTTTCCACAATTTAATGTTGCAAAACCTTAACTAATACCCTTTTAGAAAAACGCCTTCAGCTTGAAAAAATTAATCCATCTGTAAAATTAACATAAAAAGTATGAGATAAAATAATTTACCAACTACTACTTAACATTTACAATTACTACTTAACATTATTTGAGTAATTTTCAACTGACATAGGTCATAACAGTGTAAGGCAGAACCGTTTTCATTGACTTTCCTAAGTTCAACACAATATGTTTTTAGTTACTGACACAAAATAATAACACTTCATCAAATTGACGAAAGTATCAACTAAATCCTTGTAATTATTTTTATAATACGAACCATTAAGATTAAAATGAAGTTAACTTATATTATACAGGAGTTATCAATTTTTTGGTATCTCCTTGATTAATTTTTCTTTAGAAAAGAAAATTGTTAACTTAAAAATGTTAAATGCACACAACTAAATAAATTTATTAAAAATAACTAAGTTTATTATAAATAACTAAGCAACTGAGTACAAATACCTTTTTAAAAAAAAAAATTAATTTACAATCAAACATGGGTATAACAAACTTGAAAAAGTATGTAAACTTAATGCATTAATGCATCATATGACAAATCTAAAATAAAAGTTATAACAGATAACCAGACATAAAAATTTGTAAACCAAGCTGACCCGACCTGGGTCTTGTTAAGTCTGTTCAACACAGACCATTACTTGTTTGGCCTCTTTATTTCATTAATTTTTAGAAAGCGGTAATTTGCCACCATTTACTAAAAATTCCTTTTGTAACTCGAAATTTAATTTTCCGAAATATTTTGACTCTAATAAAGAGGTTTCTCCCCTTTTTTTGTTTTAATGGTGGCCAGGCGAGAAGACTTTTTTTTATTAAGAGTAATCATGTTTTTGATGAAGACTTTTTACCAAAATAATAAAATGTAAAACAATAATTTACATATATAATAATGTTTTCTTTCTTTCCTCAAAAGTGTTGTAAATACAGACTAAGCTAACTAATTAGTTAAACACATAAATAAAACTTAAGTAACTTGATATTAAATGTGCAAAACTACAATATTCTCCATATTTTTAAAGGTTTTTAGTTACGACCCCCCATTTACAAAGATCCCCTAAAATACGTACAACAAATTATTAGGCATAAAATAAATAAAATTTAAAAAAAGTTTAACTAATTATATATATTTATATCTTTTTAACTAACAAAAATTTACCATAAAAAAAAATCAGTTTTTTTTATTTTATAAATCTTATAACTGCGTCATAACGTAAGTCTAAAATAAAAAAGTAATGAAATTATGATATCATAATTACAAAGAAAAAAAAAAAAAAAGCCACCACACAATAACCAAAAATTGATTTACCTATTTACAGTAACCTATTTTGAAATTGCAGTTAATATAAAGATTTATCGAAAATGTAACTATAAAATCTGTTTTGAAGTACAAAAGCATTAACAATACTAAAAAAAAAATCAAACTAAGATATAAATTGTTGTCTTGGCAAAGTAAATGAATAAAAGCAATAAGTTCCAATAATGAAACTTTTTATTTTTAACAATAGACACCACATGAAGGTAAGCTGTTTATCAACACAAAAAATCACAACAATAACATTACAACAATAACACATAACAATAAAATTCAATGAAAATAATAAACTAAATTAAAATATGAAAGGCAAAATTAAAAAACAATTTCAAGTTAACTATATTTATTTTTTTACTAAACTTTAATAAAGTACATTTGTTTTTCTATTCAATATTAGTTATTCAATTATTTCAAATTTAGTACATTAAAGCACCCTAGATTTAAAGATTAAGGTTGCATACTCTCTCATCCACATTACGCTAAACATTAGCAGACATTATTATGAGTTTCCAGAATAATTAAAAAAAGCCAGACAACACAACCTAGCTCTAAAGCAGTAACACCACCTGGCACTAAATGCTGCCAAATCACACTTCTGCTATAAGTACACCGCTTGGCTGGCAAGGTTATCAAACTTGCTTAACATAATACCAAGACACACTACTTTGAAAACATGGAAACAACATAATTTAAACATATATACAACTATAAACAAATATGACTTTATGTAACACATATAAACACATTTTACAATTATTGAATGACAGATATATTTATCAAAAACTAAGAAAAAAAATAAATAATGATAAATAAAGTTATACATACAAAATGTGCTCACAACCTTTAAGAGTAAATTTTCGAAATGAAAATCTAAAGACTATAAATTAGAACATTAGAAAGTATAACAATACTTATGTAACATTTTTTACCTACTATACCTTGAATATAATGTTTATCAATTTTGAAAAACAAACTATTAAATGCTCTAGTTCTTGAACATGCAACATATAGTTGACCATGAGAGAAACAAGGTTTTTGAGATATTTCTTTTGTCTATATGTTTAATTACGCGTTACGTAATATTTAGACGATCCGTAAAGTAAAATACTTGAAACTAAAAAGATTTTATTTATTACAATATTTGAACAACCAAGGGACAATTTAAAGAATTATATCTTTAAATAGCAAGCAACTCATAAATATATCTTATAAATGGTCATTATCAATCGCAGTATTAAAAAATAGGCAAAAGCTTAGTAATTACATGAATTTAATCAATTCTCCCTGTACTAATTCTTATTTAAGTCTCATCTAAGAGAGAGAGGAAGTGTTTCAAAAGCAGCATGTTAGAAAAAGTAAAAAAAGCTATGCAATAAATAACAGTAACTGGTTTTAGTATGCTACCAATAAAAAAAATTATTTTTACCTTAACTAAAAGTTAATTTCCAGCATTTCTTAATCAAGTTCCAGCTTCTCTCTAACTGTTGACAAATGATTAATATAGTAAATTTTACATCATATCAAATTTAGAAAATTAAAACCATGTTTCAACAGTAAGCAAAATAATCAAGTGATGAAAAAGACAATTAAAAAAAAAATAAACACTATGTTTGAGATTACAAAAAAATTAAAATCATTTAAAATTGAAACTGTTATTATTTGTTACTATAAATAGTAAAACTCATACTTTGCTTTATTTTAAATTGTCTAATGTAAAATCAAATAATAGACATTAACACCGCTTGACACTGAATTCTGGCAAGTAAGTTTTCTGTTTATCAAGCAAAATTTCTTATATTTCAACAACAATTAATTTTATCACTCCTAGATCTATCTCTTTCATATGACAACAATTTCAAGTCACTTATAACCATTTACACTAATAACTTTTTCGAGCCTAATATTATACATCATTAAACATATTACCAGTGATTATACTACTGAATACAACTGAATAAATAAACGTTTTATATTTATACAACTGAAAAATAAAAAAACAAAATTTATTTACATTATTTTAATTTAACAAAGAAATTAGACTGCAATGCAAAGTTAATTTTACATTCAGGCACAATCTTAATGCACAAAAATAATAAATGCAGAATCTTGTATAAAAAATAAAGCAATGTCAGTCTAAAGTAATATTTGTATGTATGTATATATATTCAAATTTTTTCTATTCTTTTTAATTTTTTCTTTGAGATAATATTTATATAGATACAGCGAAATATAAAATATACTGATATATAGGCACATTTATGTATATAAACTTACCTGTCAAAAATTACAGTCAGTTTTCCATGTTAAATACATAAAATATATATCTAATATAAAATAAATCTAATATAAAATAAAACAAAATACTAAGTTTACTCAAATCAGTAACAGTTCGACTGTCTAAAAATTTTTATTATTAATTGTTCTATTTAAAAAAAGAAACAATTGATTTGAAGCGACTAAAAAGCACTTCAGCTCTTTCCAATTGCACTAAAAAATAAAACAAATCTTGCTTTGCTAAGTTGCTTAGTTCTTAAGAATCTGAAAACAAATAAGTAAAAACCAAGAACAAACAAACTATTTATTAAAACTAACAATTTAAACAAATTAAACAGAGAACAACATTAATTCTCTTTGAAAGCTGAAAAACTTTTCAGCTCAAATTTGCTTGCAGACCTTTCTTATAAAACCACTTAAATAAGAAAAGCATCAAAAAAGCCTAGAAGCTACTTAAAAATGGTATATGCAACATTAAACTTTAAATTTTGTCTGGACTAATTATCAGTAGATGTTTTTAAAAAATTCATAAAAATTCAAAATGGTTTGTTCTTCTTTAACACATAAATACACAATAAATCTTAAATATGTAAATAATAAAGAAA